GGTGATGCAGCCGCCGGCGGAGCTGTCGTCCTCTTCTCCACCTGTCCATCGAGTCACTTCGAGTCACTTCCTTCCCACTTGTCATTCGAGTGCAGCCAAATGCGGCAACAGCGGCGGCGGCGTCGCCTCTGGTGATGCAGCCGCCGGCGGAGCTGTCGTCCTCTTCTCCACCTGTCCATCGAGTCACTTCGAGTCACTTCCTTCCCACTTGTCATTCGAGTGCCGCAAATGCGGCAACAGCGGCGGCGGCGTCGCCTCTGGTGATGCAGCCGCCGGCGGAGCTGTCGTCCTCTTCTCCACCTGTCCATCGAGTCACTTCGAGTCACTTCCTTCCCACTTGTCATTCGAGTGCCGCCAATTGCGGCAACAGCGGCGGCGGCGTCGCCTCTGGTGATGCAGCCGCCGGCGGAGCTGTCGTCCTCTTCTCCACCTGTCCATCGAGTCACTTCGAGTCACTTCCTTCCCACTTGTCATTCGAGTGCAGCCAAATGCGGCAACAGCGGCGGCGGCGTCGCCTCTGGTGATGCAGCCGCCGGCGGAGCTGTCGTCCTCTTCTCCACCTGTCCATCGAGTCACTTCGAGTCACTTCCTTCCCACTTGTCATTCGAGTGCCGCAAATGCGGCAACAGCGGCGGCGGCGTCGCCTCTGGTGATGCAGCCGCCGGCGGAGCTGTCGTCCTCTTCTCCACCTGTCCATCGAGTCACTTCGAGTCACTTCCTTCCCACTTGTCATTCGAGTGCAGCCAAATGCGGCAACAGCGGCGGCGGCGTCGCCTCTGGTGATGCAGCCGCCGGCGGAGCTGTCGTCCTCTTCTCCACCTGTCCATCGAGTCACTTCGAGTCACTTCCTTCCCACTAGTCATTCGAGTGCCGCCAATTGCGGCAACAGCGGCGGCGGCGTCGCCTCTGGTGATGCAGCCGCCGGCGGAGCTGTCGTCCTCTTCTCCACCTGTCCATCGAGTCACTTCGAGTCACTTCCTTCCACTTGTCATTCGAGTGCTGCCAATTGCGGCAACAGCGGCGTCGGCGTCGCCTCTGGTGATGCAGCCGCCGGCGGAGCTGTCGTCCTCTTCTCCACCTGTCCATCGAGTCACTTCGAGTCACTTCCTTCCCACTTGTCATTCGAGTGCCGCCAATGGCGGTAATTGTGGTGGCGGCGACGGTGATGGGTATGGCGTTGGCTGCGGGTGTGGCGGCTGCGGGAGGCGCCGTGGCATTGATGACGGGTGTGGTGGCAGCTGCCTTGGCAGCGTTGGAGTTGGCGTTGGGGGTTGTGGCGTTGGCAGCGGGTGTGGCTGCGGTGGCGATAGTGGCGGTGGCGGTGACGCTGGCGAGTGTGGCGGTGGCGGCCGGTGTGGCGGCTGCGGCAGGTGCAGCGGCATCGATGACAGGTGTGGTGACATTTGTGTGGGCGGAGGTGGACTTGGCGTTGGCGACGGCGTCGCCTCTGGTGATGCAGCCGCCGGCGGAGCTGCCGTCCTCTTCTCCACCTGTCCACCGAGTCACTTCGAGTCACTTCCTTCCCACTTGTCATTCGAGTGCCGCAAATGCGGCAACAGCGGCGGCGGCGTCGCCTCTGGTGATGCAGCCGCCGGCGGAGCTGTCGTCCTCTTCTCCACCTGTCCATCGAGTCACTTCGAGTCACTTCCTTCCCACTTGTCATTCGAGTGCCGCAAATGCGGCAACAGCGGCGGCGGCGTCGCCTCTGGTGATGCAGCCGCCGGCGGAGCTGTCGTCCTCTTCTCCACCTGTCCATCGAGTCACTTCGAGTCACTTCCTTCCCAGTTGTCATTCGAGTGCTGCCAAATGCGGCAACAGCGGCGGCGGCGTCGCCTCTGGTGATGCAGCCGCCGGCGGAGCTGTCGTCCTCTTCTCCACCTGTCCATCGAGTCACTTCCTTCCCAATTGTCATTCGAGTGCCGCCAATTGCGGCAACAGCGGCGGCGGCGTCGCCTCTGGTGATGCAGCCGCCGGCGGAGCTGTCGTCCTCTTCTCCACCTGTCCATCGAGTCACTTCGAGTCACTTCCTTCCCACTTGTCATTCGAGTGCCGCCAAATGCGGCAACAGCGGCGGCGGCGTCGCCTCTGGTGATGCAGCCGCCGGCGGAGCTGTCGTCCTCTTCTCCACCTGTCCATCGAGTCACTTCGAGTCACTTCCTTCCCACTTGTCATTCGAGTGCCGCAAATGCGGCAACAGCGGCGGCGGCGTCGCCTCTGGTGATGCAGCCGCCGGCGGAGCTGTCGTCCTCTTCTCCACCTGTCCATCGAGTCACTTCCTTCCCACTTGTCATTCGAGTGCCGCAAATGCGGCAACAGCGGCGGCGGCGTCGCCTCTGGTGATGCAGCCGCCGGCGGAGCTGTCGTCCTCTTCTCCACCTGTCCATCGAGTCACTTCGAGTCACTTCCTTCCCAGTTGTCATTCGAGTGCCGCCAATTGCGGCAACGGCGGCGGCGGCGTCGCCTCTGGTGATGCAGCCGCCGGCGGAGCTGTCGTCCTCTTCTCCACCTGTCCATCGAGTCACTTCGAGTCACTTCCTTCCCACTTGTCATTCGAGTGCCGCAAATGCGGCAACAGCGGCGGCGGCGTCGCCTCTGGTGATGCAGCCGCCGGCGGAGCTGTCGTCCTCTTCTCCACCTGTCCATCGAGTCACTTCGAGTCACTTCCTTCCCACTTGTCATTCGAGTGCCGCCAAATGCGGCAACAGCGGCGGCGGCGTCGCCTCTGGTGATGCAGCCGCCGGCGGAGCTGTCGTCCTCTTCTCCACCTGTCCATCGAGTCACTTCCACTTCCTTCCCACTTGTCATTCGAGTGCCGCCAAATGCGGCAACAGCGGCGGCGGCGTCGCCTCTGGTGATGCAGCCGCCGGCGGAGCTGTCGTCCTCTTCTCCACCTGTCCATCGAGTCACTTCGAGTCACTTCCTTCCCACTTGTCATTCGAGTGCCGCCAAATGCGGCAACAGCGGCGGCGGCGTCGCCTCTGGTGATGCAGCCGCCGGCGGAGCTGTCGTCCTCTTCTCCACCTGTCCATCGAGTCACTTCCTTCCCAGTTGTCATTCGAGTGCCGCCAAATGCGGCGGCGGCGGCGGCGGCGCCTCTGGTGATGCAGCCGCCGGCGGAGCTGTCGTCCTCTTCTCCACCTGTCCATCGAGTCACTTCGAGTCACTTCCTTCCCACTTGTCATTCGAGTGCCGCAAATGCGGCGGCGGCGGCGGCGGCGTCGCCTCTGGTGATGCAGCCGCCGGCGGAGCTGTCGTCCTCTTCTCCACCTGTCCATCGAGTCACTTCGAGTCACTTCCTTCCCACTTGTCATTCGAGTGCCGCAAATGCGGCGGCGGCGGCGGCGGCGTCGCCTCTGGTGATGCAGCCGCCGGCGGAGCTGCCCTCATGTTTCCCCCCCTGTCAAGTCCATCCTCATCCCCCACATGTCGCTTCGAGTGGCGACGGTGCGGGGGGACGTTTGTGGCGGCGCCGGTGATGGATGCGTTGGCTTACGATTTGGCATGGGCGTTGGCGGGTGTTGCGGTTGCGTAGGTTGTGGCAGTTGTGTCGGATGTGGCGGCGGTGGCGGCTGCGGCAGGTGTCGCTGCGGTGTCGGTAGGTGTGGCGTTGGCGGCGGGTGTGTCTGCGATGGCGGTGGTAGCGGTTGTGGAGGCAGCGGTGGCGGTGCCGGTGGCGGGTGTGGCGTTGGCGGCGGGTGTGGCGGCTGCGGGAGGTGCGGTGGCATTGGTGACGGGAGTGGTTGCATTTGCCTGGCGGCGTTGGAGTTGGCGTTGGCGGGTGTGGTGTTGGCGGCGGGTGTGGCTGCGGTGGAGGTGGTGGCTATGGATGTGATGGTGGCGGTGACGGTGGCGCCGACGATGGCGGGTGTGGCGTTGGCGGCGGGTGTGGCGGCTGCGGGAGGTGCGGTGGCATTGGTGACGTGTGTGGTGGCATTTACCTGGCGGCGTTGGAGTTGGCGTAAGCGGGTGTGGCGTTGGCGGCGGGTGTGGCTGCGGTGGAGGTGGTGGCTATGGATGTGACGGTGGCGGTGACGGTGGCGGCGACGATGGCGGGTGTGGCGTTG